AATGACTTTGCATGAGATCTCTTGGAACTTGATCAGATCTTGAAGCGTAATGTGGTCTACGAACATCTTGCAGCATGTATTGGAACTTCTGGCAACATGTAAGTCAGGGTTGATGTCAGGATTGACGACAATCAATGGGAATGCTGAGTTCTTACCGATCGACAAGATCTCGATCTGACAGTAAAATCCTGAGATGAACTTTTCCTTTGTTGGTTCAGCTTGGTCATCATCAAAGAGATGCTCCAACAAGTATTCACTGCTCTTCATCTCTTCTGTCATAACTTTTGGAATTCCTTCTAAACAGTAAAGTCTAGCAATTGCTGATGGATACAATGATACAGCATCGAAGTCAGTGATGAGTTCTCCTTCATTGTATTGCTTCTTGTTCTCAGCTAGCATGCATCTTCCTCCTTGAATACACTTGGAAATATATTCACGAGGTTTTCCTGCAAGATCAAAGAGATTACCGTTCTTCCAATATACTCTCTTCTCAAAGAGTTTGTTTGAGATAGAACTTATTGAAACATAATCATAAGCATCTATTTCAAACTCAGTCATGAGGTCATTGCGGAACTTAAGAAAGCCATCTCGTAAAATGCGTACATCTTGACCGCAATAGAATGACGAATAAACTTCCATGTCAAAGTGTTCATCATCAATCTTGCAATCTTCAATCTTCTCAATGTTCTCATTAAAAGCTTCAATATCTTTGACATGATTCATGGCATCATCGATGTTACCAACTTTAGTTGTATTAACTAACTCTTCCGTGTAGTAATTATATGGGAAAACTTCTTTTTCACCACTAGTGAGGTGAAACATTTCAGGGAATCTTTCCAACTTAGTTGAGATGATTGCATAAGAGTCTTTGAAGCAGAGAAGTTTTCCTTTGTACTTTCCTTGTATCTGCATCGTTTGTGAACCTTTGATGATTGGAGTTCCTGTAATCTCTTCTAACTGAGACATGAGAAAAGTGACATCGTACGATAAGTTGTGGAAATAAACTAAACTCTTATCTGGTAAAGCTTCGAGGAATTTTGACGCACAGTCACTTCCCCAAATTGATGTATAACCATCATCGTCATCTTCCATGAAACAAATGTTGTATGCTTTGTGAATGTTTCCATCAGTTGATGCTTCGAAGTCAGCAAAGAAAACATGTTCTCTTGGGAACTTCATGTCTTTCTTCGTCTCTGAACTCCAATCTTTCTTCATCCTTGCGCAATAACGCTCATTGTATGTGAGGTCAATCATTTCTTCAAGGTTCTCATTATACATCGTTGTGAAGTATGTGCAAAGTTCTCCTGTTCTAATTGGTTCGAAATAATTGTTAGCAAACAAGAGTTCAATGACTTTTGCAAGTGGTGTAACTAACTTTGAGTTAATTGCATACCTTGTTTCATATCTTCTGTTAACTAACATCTTCTTCTCTAAAGTCCAATCCTTGCACAACTTACAAACATCTTCATAGTTCTTGATGAACATTGAACTTATTGGAAGCTTTTCGTTCAACATGTAGTGGTCATACATTAATAAAAGTTCTACTGTCATCTTTGGTTCTTCATCTGGTTCATAAGTATATGAATGATTTGAATACTTCTCGTTGTATTTGATGACATGGAACCTTATTCCTGTTTCTTTGGCAATAACCTTAATCTTTGACATTGGAAAATCTTTGACACGAATGATTTCCCTCATATGATTAATTGTTGCTTCGTCAACACCAGCTTGAATACAAGCGTAGATGAAACATGAATCTTTCATCATCTTCTTTGCTGTCTCTGCATTAAGTTCGTTGAAGATCTGATACCTCTCTAAGTTAATAGGTAATTTGCATGTCCATGTCCAAAGCTGACCATTACGTGACCTGTTTCTCTTCTTTGAATGGTTTTGTTTGATGATCTTGAGTGCGATCTTTTCTTGACCTGCTGCTCTCATCGTATCTAACATAACTTGTTCTTCAGCTGTGAGTTTATATGGTGTGTACGTTCCTTTTCTCAAAGCAGAAGCATCAACATCTGAATAAGCTGTATAGTCAAAGATCTCGATCTTCCTTAACGAAGGAATACTACAAAGGAAGAAGTCATAGTTTGATTCAAGGACTTTAGATGCTAATTCTTGTACTTCTGCTATTGGAGCTTCATTAAGTAACTGATGAACTAATGATCCCATTGTATTGATGTTCAAATGACGCAAAATGTTTCTCTTCTCATCAAAGTCGTAATAGAATGTCCACTTCTGTTTGAAAAGGTCTATCTGTCCAATGAACTTTGCCATAACTCTTGGAAACATCTTGTTGAAGTAATCTTTTCCTCTTGGACTGTATTGGTCAATGTTAAACATAATGAATCTTTCTCCTGCTTTAGTTATTGGGTCTAACCATTTCTCATCAGGAAGTTTTTGACCATTAATGTTCTTAACAACGTAAAAGGCATTCTGTATTTCTTTGTATGCTAATTCGCTCTCATCAATCTTTGGTGGAGGGTCTGAGTATATTGGTTGCATCTCCATTAACGCTCTATTATGAGATCTCTGATCGTGATCTAAAGCAACTGGGGAATTTGAAGCTGGAACATTCATGATACCATTGTAGTCATCATAGAAGCTCTTAGCATTCTTGAAAATATCTGCTACACTTCCTGTACCTCCTTGATTCTTAATTGCCAGAGCTAATTTATTGGTAATGTCTTTAGCTTTCTTAGGCATTTTGATCCCAAACATATCAAGCATACCTTTCTTATCTTCTGGTGAAAGGTTATTAACTAATCCTTTTATAGCATTGAGCATGTTGGTCTTTTATAACCGATAAAAAAATATACGTTATTTTTTTTTAATCGTCATCGTAATCATAATCGTACGAAGATTCTGTATCATCATCACTGACATCATTGGTTTCTCTAACTTCTGGCTTATCTGGTTTAATCTCTATCACCATAAACATTGGTGACAATAATCGAACAGGCTGATCTTGGAAGTCAACTAAGGTAAACGTAACATTAGTTAGTTCCCATGGAAATGCATCTATCCATGGTGAGGATTCCTTACATATAAGTGGTTTACCAGATATCCAGAACTCATTGATGTTATAACATGTAGATCTGTACATGATCTTTCTTCGATCATCAACTTGGTCAATATTATTGAACCCAGAGATGACAGACATTGATGAACGAAGGTATAACTGATACCCGAAGTTGAGCATAGGTGGTTTTGGCATTTGTAGATAATAATTATGTACAATAGGTAGTTCTATTCCATATGCACCTAAAATAAGATTTGCTCTATGTGAAGCATCTTTTAAATAGACTTTATGTCCTTTGTCCTGTGACGTAAATATAAGTTGATTCGTAGCACTCAGTGAAACTGTTACATTATGTTGACCTTTTTTCTTGTTATAATAATCAAACTGTTTTGTTACAATCTCTTGTAGTTTTGATACAATAGTATCCATATCAAATGAAAGAGCTGACTTAAATGTACACACCTTTTCTTCTCCATCTTCGTCTAACTGTAAGACAAAATAATCTGTTTCGTCACAAACAATAAAGTTCGCCATAGTACTGACACTTTTTACTCTCATCTTTATCTTACTTGGATGCCCCATGTTAGGATCTGCTTGAAACTGTATTGTCCCGTAGTTATTAGGATCAGTCGATTGTAGATAATACATCATTTTTATATGTAGTAAAAGAATGAGTGTTGTTCCATATGCATATGAATGTTATAAGTCTAGCGTACTTCAATATAAAGAATATACTCTCAGAATTACTGATAATGCTTTAGTCATACATAAAGAAGGTGCTGATGAAGACATTACCATCGGTCCTGGTATATTACCTATCGAGCAACCAGATGGTACAATTGTTGAAACAGACTTAAATCAATACCTTCAAGCGTTACAGAATCGTGTGACAAAAGTAGAGAATAATTACTTAGATGCTCCATTCTTCACAACTGATAGAGATTATATGTTTTCATGTATGGCGAGTAATGGTTTGCAAGAAACTCGTGAGGTAAATATTAATGAAGCATTAGAGACTATAATATATCATGTTAAACGGTTATTATCGATTGACCATGGAGTTCATTTTGACCCAAGGTCTACACTGTTCAATATACCAATGATTGAAAACAGTCAATTAACATTTAAAGAAGATACATTGTATAATGCTTTAAACGCAGCATTTGCTTATATATTAGGTCATGAACAAGTACAAAATAGTGGTATTGCAATATACTTAGATAAAGTTATGTTAAAGAAACCATTGACATTCACAGAAGATGGTCCAAAAGCAACTGGTATTGTTGGTGATGGAACATTATTGACGAAAGAATACTTAGCAAGTCATGTCGGAGAATTTTTCTCCACTAATGATAGCATCAGTACAACACCAGAAGTTATTTTATTGAAGAAACCAATCACATTTGATGTTAAAGGAAAGACAAAAGCAACTGGTATAGCTGGCGATGGAGTTCTTCTGACTAAGGAATACTTGAAGAAAAATATCAATGACTTCGTTGAAATTGTCAAAGATAAAGAATCTGGTCTTAAGTTCAACCCTTTATCATTCATCTTTGCCATAGCAAACGCCGGTGCTACTGCAGCCTCATGGATATCACTCCAGAGTCAAATAAATGCTCTTTGGGCTTTTGTTGAAAGTCAAGAAGGTATAGATACTGTTCTTGACACTCTGGGTAATCTTGGTCCAAATCATAAAGGAGGTTTTGTGGATGGAATAAAAAATTTAGTTGAAAAGACTAAAACAAGTTTCCAGAAGATAACTCATATAGAAAGATTCAGAAATGAAGGTTATATGGAACTTGAGAGTTTTGATGTGACTGGACCTTTGGAACCAATTCCAATGCCACGTGATGCTAATGATGAAGAAGAGAAAGATCCTGGACCAAAAACAATCATTTCTACGTTAAGTACTTTGTACCCTGATTTTGTGACCTTAGTGAAAGTTGCTAATACATCAAGAAAGAACAATAATATTAATATGTCTGGTACTGATGACCTTACTGATTATCTTTATCTCATTCTTGCTGAATTAGCGAAGAAAGTTGAGGAGAACAAAAATAATGGAGGAAGAACTGCACTTAAGATTGCAGACAAAGCTGACAAAAGTTATGTTGACGAAGAGATACGTAAAGTTGCATCTAAAGAATATACTTTATCACAGTCTGTCATACTTAAGACAATCAAAGGTCCAGAGAAAGATATTTACCCAGGTGATGGTACAACAGTTAAAGTTAATGAAAGAGTTTCATTCCCATCTGGTATTGATGCAAAAGAAGTATATATTAATAGTGAAAACATCAATACAACATTGATTCCTTTGAAAAATAATGAGTTCACTGAACCTTTGACAGTTAAATCAATTCGTTCAAGAGAAGACAAACCTGTTATAATCAATAAAATAGGAGCTGATAATGACCAACCAGTTCAAATCAAGAAAATAAGAGCTGATGACATTATCTTGAACTATACTTTAGGTTCAAGTGCTCCACAAGAAGATCCAAGCACTAGCGTAAAAGATACTCTTAACAGTTTAGATAGTAAATGTACGAACATTGAAGGTCATGCCAGAAACTTCGAAGTATATGAACTACCAGCAATGTTAGATAAGAAAGCTGACAAGAACCATGTTCATTATATAAGTTCAGACGAACAGATTATAACGGACTACCATGGATATTTAACACGAAGTGATGAAGCGAAGACAAAAAATGTTAATGAAAGAAGATATAAATACATTCGTGCTAAAGGTTATGACATAAGCTGTACTGTACAGTATGATGTAGCTAAAGCACCAGAAGCATTTGGTTATACCGGTGAAATTTATGCCTCTACTTTCAATGTTAACGGTGTATTAGTTGAACCAAGATTTACTTTGAGAGTTAAGGCAAAAATAACGTTTGAAGATGCTATTAAAAGTAAAGCTGACAAAACAGAACTCGAAGCAATGAACAAAGTTTTGAAATCTCATAAACACAACATCTCCGATATAAATGAACTTCAAGCTACATTAGACAGTAAAGCTGACAAGAACCATACAAACGAATCCTTCACTACTGTTAGAGCAGACGACATAATATTGAACTTTGACCTTGGTTCAAGTGCACCTTTAGAGAATCCGAGTACAAGCGTAAAAGATACTCTTAACAATTTAGATAAGAGTTGCAGGAATATCGAAGATCATGCCAGAAACTTTGAAGCATATGAACTACCCGCAATGTTAGATAAGAAAGCTGACAAAACTTATGTGGATGCAGAACTAACAAAGAAATTTTCGAAACCAGATACAATGACATTTACAACAGAAATTATAAATGGTGAACCAGCAACTCCATTTGAATTTGTTAGAGGTCTTCAACCAGATACTTTTGAATTTTTCTTGGATAATTCTATTGAACTAACATTACATTATAAAAGTGGAACAAATGCAACATTTCATCCGGGAGATACATTCCAAATGGTATTTAATGACATAAGTTCTTTAGAATATGTTTATAGAGTTATGAGCATATATGATTTAATATATCCTATAGGAGCTGTTTATACGTCTATGAATCCAATAAATCCAAACACTTTATTTGGTGGTAGATGGTATGAAATAGTTGACAGTTTTCCATTCTACACTAATACGCAGTCAATGAAGATGGGAGGTTCAAAGAAAATAGGTATTGAAAACCTTCCTTCACATATGCATAGGTTCAGTGGAAGAACATCTGTGGAAGGAAACCATTCACATTCAATAACAAAAAGAGGTTATACAAATCTTGCAGCGGGTTCGGATAGACAGGGAATGCATAGATATGATATTTCAACTGACCCAGTAGATTCAAGCACAGGTATTTTCTGTGGAACCGCAGGAAATCATACACATGTTGTAGCTGGTATTACAGACCCAGCAGGTAATGGAAAAGATTATATGCCTCCTTATATAACAATGCACGCTTGGATACGAGTTGGTTAACTCAAGATCACGATCACAAACTGTTTCTCAGTATGAATGAGTAGCTCTATTTTTACATCATTACTGAAGTATTTCTTTTCTTCATTAATGACAGAAAGAATGCTTTCATCATCTTTTAAAGATCTTACCAAAGTTAGATCTTCATCAGAAAATCTCAAAGAAAGACTCATTTATGTACTAATTAAAATATAGCTAATTATTTTTTATCTGAACTTTTTATCAGGTATATAAAGATGTCTGAACATCATATAAAGTTCTTTAAGATCCAACAGTTTGTAGATGAAGTGAAGAAGCAAAATAAAACAGCAAAGAGACTACTTATATGCTTACCACAAACATTACGTCAAGGAAAGTATGGTTATAGTGCAAGTCCGATCATGATCTTTGTCGATAAGCAGAAATACACAAATGAAGGTTTAGCTAATTTACTTAAGTTTGAAAAGATAGCTATAAACATTCCTGACCATTTCTCAGCGAGAATAAACCTTGACAAGACTAAAAGTTATTGTTTATATGTAGATCTCACGAAATCAACAAAGAGTAAAGACAAAGAATATAACCCAGTTGAACTTAAGACAATGGGTAAGAACTTACTCAAAGCTGCTATCAAACCTGTCGAAGAGATCGACATTGAGGATGAAGCAGAAGAAATAGATGTAGATCCTGAAGTGTTATAAACGATAAAGTTTATTTTTGGAGGAAGATGGTGTCAGACCATTTGATCTGGCATGCTTGTTCTAGGTAATTGCAGAAACCTGGAAAGATTGTTATTGGTCTGAGTTTCATACCTGGTCTCTCATCTCTCCATTGAAGCAAGTAAATTTACATGAAGAGTTCGTCTGGATTCTCAGGCTTTGGTACACACTGATCGAAGATCTGTATGACCTCTTCATGACCGTACTCCCTCTGGTCAGACATGAGTGTTCTGAAGAACTTTTGCATCTTCGGACCAGGTTTAGCATCTATGCAACGAGTGGGTCTCATTGACATTTTTGTCACTTTTATTTGGTCGAATGGAAGGATTCGAGTTCATGCCACTTGACAGCAAAGAAGGTGCAGAAGAGGTTGTTGTTGCTGCATTCTATGCGAGCTCACACGTTGACGCATTCCGAACTTACCAGGATGACCTCGAAAAAGAAGGTCGAAAGCTTGGAAAGATCCAAATGTTGCTTGAGTTCTTCCGTGGAAACCTTGCACAGAAGTATGAGAAGAAAGAATAAACAACTAATTATTACTGAGCTTAGCTCATAAATGTAAGTTTTTACTCTGATCAGATCTTAGATCTCGTCGGGACAAGCGGAAAGGATAAAGTCCATGAGCTGGACTTTTGTCTTAGTGAGCGGTACTGCGGTCATGAGTAGTTCGCGCTTGTTTGAGCCACTTGGAACGCGACCCTTCCAATTCCTCATAGATCTCAAGGCAGAGATCGTGAAGAACTCAAGGACAAAGAGTCTTTGAGACTTGGTAAGGAATCCCTCATCATCTCTTTCATCCTGGAGGGTCTTTGTGGATGCAGTGGACTTGATCTCGTCTTCCTCGATCGGATCATTCTCATAATCTTCATCACCCTTCTTCCTAAACGTCATCTGCTCTCTCTTGTAGTCGTTCCTGAGAGCATTGAGTCCAGCTTCAAGATCTTGTGAGTTCTTTGCAGGTTTATTGAAAGTTTTCTTTTCCTGCATTTGCTGTATAAGCTGGGTTTGCTGTTGCATCATCTGCATCATCATTGCCATCATATCTAGTGTTGGTGATGCTGGAGCTGGTGTTGTACCATCTTGGGACATTCGGTCGTCGGTTATGTCTTTACAAAAGACTGCTTTACAAAAGACAGCTTTACAAAAGACAGCTTTACAAAAGACAGCTTTACAAAAGACAGCTTTACAAAAGACTGTGCTTTACAAAAGACAGCTTTACAAAAGACGTCTTGACAAAAGACAGCTTTACAAAAGACTGCTTTACAAAAGCATTTTCTCACAAAATTGAATACTTTTGCTTTACAAAAGACGTCTTGACAAAAGATTGCTTTACAAAAGTCTGCTTTACAAAAGACGTCTTGACAAAAGATTGCTTTACAAAAGTCTGCTTTACAAAAGATTGCTTTACAAAAGATTGCTTTACAAAAGTCTGCTTTACAAAAGACAGCTTTACAAAAGATTGCTTTACAAAAGCCATGACTGATCTTCATCCAATTTGTTTAATCGAACTTAATGAAGTAATTTCTGCATATCTCCTGCATGTATTTGGAAACGAGAGGATAAGACAACTCACCAAGGTTTCCAGACGCCAGATCCAAAGACTTGAATCAACTGCAGGAGTAATCCTAAGCTTTGAAGAAGGATTAACCAATAAGAAAGATGTCATTGACTCCAAGCGTGAAAGCCTTGCTGCTTTCTTACGCAAACACCCATGGGTCGATGTTGATCTCCAAACTCCTTACCAAGGACTCGTTGAAACCTTCACGACCTACAGACAGCTCCTTGACAGACCTGAGCAGAACCTTCTGGTCGAACGTGATGGCACATTAAGCCCTACAGACGAGTCAATCCAGAGAGAAGAAGCTCAAGAGTAAAAATCTGACATTTATACTTTACATGACATTTTTTTCATGAGTGTTCACGTTAAGATCAATGATGAAAACATGACTTCATGGAAGATATCATTGATGACATAGAGAATGACCTTGATGAAAACATGATGGGAGCTCAAACGTCAGTTAAGGTCAAACTTGGTGAAGTTCAAGAAAAGATCTCCGAGATCAATGCAAAAATATCTGCTCTTACAGAGGTTGACGTTTATTACAGAAGCTTGGAGAGAACTTTAAGCAAACTTGAACGTCAGAACCAAAGTCTCATAGTTGTGCTCCAAGAAACTCAGTCTCATGCGTAAAGCATATAATGACTACCTACATGTAAGAGACTTACCTTCTTATTCTACTCCAGATCTCGACTTTTCCGATATAAGTCCAATCCTTATTGATACAACACTTACGATAGCAGGGATGCTTCCTACATATCCAGAATATGATAACTTACCTCAGCTCTTCGAGTATCTCAAGAAAAAGTTCATGATCTTATTATGCGAGACCATGAAAAGACGTCAAAATACCAGAACAGAACGAGAACAGAGCTTACTAATAGACTTATTATATAATACTAAAGAAATAAAGGAGTTTTTATTCTAACTTTGGTATTTTTGGGAAAGAACTGATCTGGATCATATTTGTCAACCACAGGTTTAGGTATCAAAAGTCTCTCTGGTTCTTGGACGTCTGGTACTGGAAATGGTTCCTTTGGTTTCCTAGCTTTTGGGAGATCTAAAAATTTTCTTGGTCTCTTTCTTTTGTGTAAGTGTTGTCCATTTTTATCGACAACGAATGTGAGCTTTCCGTCGTCAAAGATGAATGTCGTCGCTTCTTCAGTTCCCTCATCAACTATTATCTTCTTGATCTTTCTCTTCTCCATTAACAGAAAAAGTGACATATATTACTTCATTATTTTTCTGAGTGTTAGGATTAATTAAACCTCTATCTATAACATGCTTTCTCATAGGAAATTTCTCTCCATATCTTTTTGTCAATATCTCTATAAGTTCTTCTGTATAAGATTTATCACTACTGAAGTAAATAGATGGATAATTAAGGACATCAAAGGTTTCTACAGTATCTTTAAGAGTCCATTCATCTCCATACTGTATAGAATAAGTATGGAAGTATGGAGGATCACATATAAAGAAAACATTGGGAAGATCTTTATACTCATTGAAGAGTATTCTCCAATCTTTATGAACAATAGTTAAACCTTCAAGATAGTCATCTATGTTTTCACCAAATAAGTTAGTATATCTGAGGTATAACACTTTCTTCATTAATGTGTCAAGATCATAGTATTTGTATGCTCCAGAATAGAGAAGACGTGAACATAATGTATCCCAGTCTATGTATGGAGCTTTACTTATAACTTCTCTGACGATCTCTTTCTGATCAGTAGGAATTTTCTCATCTGGCTTAACATTTATTCTCTCCTTAAGTTCCTTAAGTATTTCATTCGTGTCATGAATGTGTTTCAGTCTATCAACGTAGTTATCATAGTCGTTAGCTATGATCGTTGCTTTTGGGAACATAATATGCAACAAATGAGAGATATAGAGAGAACCACCAAATAGGTCAACGAAGACATAATCCCCTTTGATGTCTTTGAGTATGTCGATAAGATCTTTCCTGATCTTAGACTTATTACCTATGAAAGGTAAAGGAGGTTTGGTAAAAATCATTTATATGGTAATAAAAATAAGTGTTTAGATTAATTGGGTTTGAGTAGGTCTGCTGCATCTGTATTGCGTCCTCTGTATCTCTCTCCTGGGAGATCGCGGTTGATCATCCCGTGGACTTCGCAGAAAAAAAGGAGCATGACCAAGAGAACAATGAACAAGTTTATACAAAAGAATACAACAACAGCGTTCGTTAAGAAGTTCATTGAACTCTTCACATAAGCTATGTCTTCTTCGTAGCCCATTAACTTAAAAAGTGTCATGACCACTTCATTTTTGATGAAGTCAACAGCTTATGTCCACTTCCTCCCATCAACAC